TGTGAGTTAGACAGCTGTTACGGGATGCTTCCCATGGGAAGAGGGAAGGGGTTATAAGTTAGTAACTAATAGTTAGCAACAGTTGATTGAGAGTTGAGATGCGGGCCAAAAGAGCAGAGCTCAACCCCCAAAAGCACAACTAGGTAATTACCTAAGTGTAGTTATGGAATTAGAGCTACGCTCGTGGTGTCCCGTCTTCCCAGCACTCTGTCATATAACGCTTTGAAATTACCAACGGTTTTGTCCTCCACCACCTTCTCACCTAACTTGTTCCAACCGTCTACCATTCTGTTTACAGAAGTAAGTTTTCTTATACAGTGGTACCTTGGAATACGAGTGTCCCCTGTATACGAGTTTTTCGGAATACGAGCAGGATTTGCTCGGAAAATTTACATCGGAATATGAGCATTGCCTCGGAAGACGAGAGTGTTGATACGCGGACAGATCGACTAGCACGTGGTGGCAAGGCAATCGTGCCTCAGTTTACCAGTGCCTCATGCCCAGTGACTATCCCACCTGAATTCTTCACGAGGATTTACAGTTTTTTGTTGGATTTTTGGCCATTTGAGCATAAAAGTTGTTATTATACATCTTGCCATGGGTCCAAGAAAGCCATTGATAAGGTTCAAACTAAGAAAATAGTTGTGAGTAGAGGCAGTAGATGATATCCCTTCTTCATTAAGAAAATGTGTGAAGTATGGGAAAAACTGCAAAGTTTTGTTGAAAAAAATCACCCAGATAAAGCTGTAGGAGGCCGTTGCATTGATCTTTTAAATGACAAATATGATGTCTTACTACAGACAAGTGTTAAAATGTATGGAAAAACAAGTGTCTTTAGACAGATTCTTACTAAGACAAGGAAATCCTAGTGGTATGCAGGCAAAATGTGCCAGAGAGTGCACACCAGTGAAGTCCTCACTGCCGGATGTTATAATGGAAAGGGACTCCCCTTCCAAACAGTAACACCTCTCAACTCCTCCTCCCTCCTCCTCACCATCTTCCATACGCCGACAGCAGTCATCAGTAAGGGTAAGTAATAACTTGAACATACTTTTGTAGTGTAGATTTAGATGAATTAGGTATAAAATTTAGTTTGAAGTGAGGATTTTGGGCAGTCAGGAACAGATTAATTTATTTCCCATTATTTCTTAGGGGGAAATTAGCTTCGGTTTACGAGTTTTCGGATTACGAGCCGTCTCCTGGAACCGATTAAACTCTTAAACCAAGGTACCGATGGATTATGAGCTGTCTCCTGGAACCGATTAAACTCTTAACCCCTAAACTGCGCATGGCGTATATATACGCCCTGAGTAACATGTCCCATGGTGCGCATGGCGTATATATACGCCATAGGGTGCCAGGCCTGATTCAAATGGCCCGCGGCTACACGGGGTTCACAGTAGCTTCCTCAGGGCTCTTGTAAACAGATGCCATTTTGAAAAAAAATCGTGGGCAATATTCTCAGGTGTGAGAGGCACAGTACTGTTGGAGCAACCAAGGCCGGCGCACGCAGCATGAGCGAACAGCATTGATGTTCAGCTTGTGACCACAGCATCGCCGAAAAATGTCAAAATAAATATATAATTGTTATTATTTAGCGATGACAATATTACAGATGACCAATGACTGTGATATAAATAACCAGAGTTGTGATAATAGCAGGATTGTTGTAATAATTAGCGCTGTGGGAGGAGTGATTCTGAGAGACGGAGGGAGACAGCATCGTTTACTAACTGTGTGGCCACCTGTTATTGTTTGCATTCACCATACCAGGTCAGTGGTTCTCTATGGTGAACACAAATGTAGATACTTATATATAATGTGTGTATTAGTGTAATAACAGCAAAAGGATTATGCTGGGAGGAGCCATATGGGTGACGGAGGTGACGTCGTCTGCACGATTTGTCTAGCTGTTTAGAGGGTGGCCACTATGCTCTTTGGGCGCACTACAAGCTTAGGTGTACAGTTACGGTGCATAAAACATGTAGATATTTATATATAATATGTGTATATAGGGTAATAACACTGCAAACGGTATTGTTGGGGGAGAAAGTTTAGTGCGTGTGACCTTGAAAGAGTGAGGGAGCCGCCAGCCGCCATTTGTGTATAGCGATGACTCTTAGTGCCTGAACTAACTATATCAGCTTGGCTGTACAGTTGTTGTGCACAAAATATACACATACTTATATATAACGTCTGTATATAGTGTAATAACACCACAACTGGTATTGTTGGGGGAGAAAGTTTAGTGCGTGTGAACTTGAATGAGTGAGGGAGCCGCCATCTGTGTATAGCGACGACTCTTAGTGCCTGAACTAACTATATCAGCTTAGCTGTACAGTTGTGGTGAACAAAATATATACATACTTATATATAACGTCTGTATATAGTGTAATAACACCACAAATGGTATTGTTGGGGATGAAAGTTTAGTGCGTGTGACCTTGAATGAGTGAGGGAGCCGCCAGCTGCCATCTGTGTATAGCGACGACTCTTAGTGCCTGAACTAACTATATCAGCTTAGCTGTACAGTTGTGGTGAACAAAATATACACATACTTATATATAACGTCTGTATATAGTGTAATAACACCACAAATGGTATTGTTGGGGGAGGAAGTTTAGTGCGTGTGTTGAGGGAGTGGCAGCGAGTGGCTGGCTGGTGTGTGGCGGTAACTCCTCGTTGCTTTTCGACTCTCAATACCAACTTAGTGGTTCGTTATGGTGATCAAAACATGCCAATACTTATATATAACCTGTGTATAGAGTGTAATAGCAGCAAAACTATTTGTTCATTGTTTTATAAACATAATAATTGAATCACTAATATGCACATCATACTTTTGAGTATAGCGATTATTAACCACTTTTATTATATAAATATATTACAATACACACTATTGAATAATATTACTGCAAAAAAACTAAGAAAAAATCAATCGGAGACATTGAAACAATTGGGTAATAATATCTTTGTGGCAACTCCCATCTGTCAACGCGGGTGACGCTGACCGGGTCTGACGACCGCTCTGTCAACGCCCACTTTTTGCCAGACTTCCTCGGTCAATTGCGCCCAAAATATGTCACCTACGATTTTTTTTTTATTTTTTCCGTGCTCAGGGGACACAAATTAACATGTCTAGAAGACGAAAAAAAAATTTTGAATTTTTTTTTTTCTTGCGCACAGGGGTGTAAATGTCCCAAGGACCCCTGAGCAGTGTAAGGGTTAAACCGAGGTACCGCTGTATTTATCCGGCAGCTTTGTTTCGTTAGTTTAAATCTATGACCTCTTGTTCTTGAAGTTCCGGGTCTCAGGAATTATTCCCTATCAATTTTATTGCTTTCTGTTTCTATTTTGTATGTAGTGATCATATTGCCTCTTTTTTTTTCTTCTATCTTCTAGTTTTTGCATATTTAATGCCTCTAACCTTTCCTCGTAGCTCTTGTCCTTCAGTTCTGGGAGCCACTTAGTGGCATGTCTTTGTACCTTTTCCAGTTTGTTGATGTGCTTCTTAAGATATGGGCACCATACAACCGCTGCATATTCCAGCTTTGGCCTAACAAAAGTCATGAACATTTTCTTTAGCATTTCTCTATCTATGTATTTAAAAGCAATTCTGAAGTTAGAAACTGTAGCATAGGCTGTCCCAGCTGTCAGGGCGCCTGACAGCTGGGTGGACAGCGCTTCGGATTCGTAGTCCTGAGGTTCCGGGTTCGATCCCCGGTGAATGCGGAGACAAATGGGCAAAATGTTTCTTTCACCCTGATGACCGTTACCTAGCAGTAAATAGGTACCTGGGAGTTAGACAGCTGCTACGGGCCGCTTCCTGGGGGTGGAGGCCTGGTCAAGGACCGGGCCACGGGGACACTAAGCCCCAAAATCATCTCAAGATAACCTCAAGATAGGACAAACACACTTTGGAACTTTTTGTTTAATGTTTCACACATTTCATTTTCATTTTCCGTGTGTCTGTCCTCCATTTTCAACTTCTGAATATTATCCTTTATCGGCAATTTGTTGTTTATGAATTTATAGAATAGACCTGGTTCTGTTTTACATTTGTATGCAATCCCTTTTTCAAAATTTCTTTCTGCCTCTTTCCTCACTGTCATGTAGTCGTTTCTCGCATCTTAGTATCGCTGGTATGTTTGGGGGTTTGGCCTCTTCCTATATTGATTCCATTTTTGTGTCTTTTGGTCTCTGGCCCTCTCACAATTTCTGTCGAACCAATCCTGTTTCCTAGTTCTGCATCTCTGCTTTGGTATAAATTTTTTTGTGCCTTTGAATAGGTGAATACAACTAGGTGAATATGGGGTTTCAATAAACATTGTTCCTCGTGCCTCTCTGAGGGGGGCCAGGTTCCGGCTCGTGGTCCCCGGTAGGCCTAGAACTCCATTCACTTGACTGATGCCAGGATCTAATACAGTACATTCATATCAGCCCAGATTGCTCCAGGGAGCAATTATTATCATAATTTTATTATCGTAATTATCATAAATTTTTTAAGGGGAGACGAAGGGGCTCCCCCCTAGAAAATTGCGATAATAATGTTTTTCGTTTTACATCGATATAAACTAATCATGTGTGCACATTTCCATATACTGTACATATATATTTATTATGTTGACAAATATAATGAGAATGATGAAGAATGTATGAGGAACACTGAAATGTAAATAAACATATATTCAGCACCAACATGCACAATCTCTTATCAAAACACTATTTGTCTTGCATCTATAATCTAGCAAATGTATTTGCAAACATTCTGACACTAAATTCATAGCTGTAGCACAATAACTGAGAAGTCGCAAAAAGAGTACAGCATAATCTAAAGGCACTGCTGATCGTAATCCTGAGATGCCCAAAACATTTATGGATGGGCACTCACCAAGGTACTGGAACGTTAAAGAGATAAGATTGAATTTTCTATTGTAACAGCAGAAAATTTTCAAAATACAGAATGAAATTCAGTACTGTAATACTGAAAATGCTCTAACCTTTCCCTGGCCATTGACAGGAGTCATTTCTTCAACCTGAGACTCAGCCAGGTCTTCATTTGTAAATATACTCTCAGTGTTTATTCCCATTGCCTCAGCAATGTCCAACCCAAGCCGCTGGTTCACTAGCCGACGCTGGCAGGCAAGTCTATCTGCAGGATTAAGAGCTGAAAAAAAAATACAGTATGCATTGTAAACATAATTTAAATTTTTTTTAATATTAAATATTTTTTTAAGCTATCTATACTGTAGAAAATCCAATACAGTGATGCCATCCATATAAATACTGACCACTTGTACTTGTATTATGGTTACAGACTTTTAAACTAATAACAGTTAAATGAACTAACTACTCAAGTGCAAGAAAACTAGAAGAACTTGACGAGTCCTCGTTTAAAAACATTAAAAGGATTGGGTTAGATGTAGTTAGGTAGATAGCCAACATCATAGCAGTTCTTGGATATATACAAATTAACTATGATAAATTCATCATCCTTTAATGATAATTTAACTCAGACACTCTCTGTACCCTGTGTGTGTCGGTGGCTCTACTAACTCTGCTGGTGGAGTTCTTATCACGAATCAACGTCCTCCTTATGTTATTTATAGAGAAAAAGGTGAAACCCGTTATAGCCATTTAATTTCAACAAGTCTTCATTCCTCCCCCGTCTCCTGAAGGGCCATGACATCAGTATAATTTCCCATCACGTAACAATAAACACCCATAACTCTGTTTCTTAAATTGTCATTAAGTCATTAATGACAATTTATTAGTCATTAAATGAAAGTCATTAACATTCCATGACAACATTTTCAATATAGGGTGAGCAATTATAAAGCAATGCAAATTCTAATTCATTTCCAATAGGTTCACTAAATGATAACCATTAATTGTGTATTATCTCCCACCACCTCCTAATTTCACCAGCATCAATAATGTTCATGAAAAACTTATGTTAAAAGTCCATCTTTTTAAAGCTTCCTGCTTAAAATACTGTACATAGTTCACTCAAACATTAAGTACTAGAGATGCCTTATTTGGCTTCCCAGGCATAACAAGGCAGGTATACAAAACATTTTTGCATAAATTATTACTGTATGTACTGCATTTTCCTTAGTAAACTTTGTTATTTACTTACAAAACAAAAAAGGCAATACAAGGCACAGTACAGTGAATGTTGAGTATTTTGAGCACAGGATGTTGAGTGAATGAGCAAAATTTAAAAAGCTATATGCAACAGACTTTAAATGCATCAGAGGAGTCCAGAACAAACCATTCTATTCATTCAGGAGTGCAATGTATATCTCGTTCATTTTCATTTCAGTCATATTCTCTGATTAGAAATAAATTAAAAGGAGGTATTGTAAATAAAATTTTATCTTTTGAGAAAATGCCTAAAATACCATAGCATAAACTGCTCAGCATAAGGGGGGCATAATTCAAAAAAATATTTAAATTATGTAAAAATTACTTAAAAATGTTAAACAAATCTCCAACTTATTGTCTTTAGCGTCATGAAACTTTCATCAAAATATTTTCAGAAATTTATTTTAGACAAAAATTTACAAAAAAAAAAAAGATTCTTTTGTTGATAAGGAGGAGTTGATAAGGATAAGGCTCCTATTAACTGGAACTGATGGATAATGCAATAATACAGATGCCATCACCTGTCTGACACACAAAGAAGAATAGTAGTAACAAGTGTCCACAAAGTGGATATGCAGCTGGTGCCTCTACAGCATTTGTGAATAATACATAATAACACAAATAATAATGAATAAGTATGTTATTATGCTCTATTTTGTTATATATCATATAAATACATTGCCCAAAGTTATTATCAGTTACTTTCAACAATGTCCAAAAAATATTTTTTTAGAGGATTTTTTGTTAGGTTTTTAGTTTTTTTCCTCCTTTGTTTATTATTTGAATTTGTTGTAACCTTTACATCGTGGAGAGTGTATACCCGTCCCTAACTATGTGAAGACAGAATTAAATTGGTCAACAAATAAGTCAGTCACAACTCTCAGAACTTGAGACTTTGAATTTTTTTTGCCGATATGCTACCTTGAGGCTACCTTGAGGCGATTCCGGGGCTCAGCGACCCCGCGGCCCGGTCGTCGACCAGGCTTCCTCGTTGCTGGACTGGTCAACCAGGCTGTTGGACGGGCTGCTTACAGCCCAACGCATGAAATATTTGATGTATAAATATATACTGTAATATTAGACGTATATTTTCACAGATTTCAAATTCTATTTTCCCTTGTTTCTTTAGGTAGTTTTGATGATTAGGGACCAGATTAGGGTTTTTTCTTATGTAAAGTATACCCTAAATATATCTCCTAAATCATTATAATTATTATAATAGTTCCTATACAGTATTTTGTTTTTTGGGGGGTTATTTTTTCTTGACTTCATTTCAACACATATTGACCTACAACTTTCACATATTCAAGTACGAATGCTATTCTGAAAGCATAAACACACCAAATGAGCAATTGGTGATATTTTATATTTTTGTAGCCAATTTCAAAATCTTAAGTTTTTAATATTCAATTTTATAATTATTTTTTTTATTTTCTTGTTTTTCAAGTTACACTGCTATCATTTAGACAAAGTTGGAGCATTTGCCTAGTAGATTATGCACAAAACATTTGAAAGAATTTCAGAGAATTGTGAAAACTGAGCTCAAGGCCAAACTTCGTATGAAGTTTTGCACAGTTTAGGGGTTAAACACTTTACACTTACGCATATTTTCATCCTCCGCCTCAAATAGTTTTTCATCTGCAGCCATGAGGTACGAGCCCTTTTGAAGTACGTGTGCAAGGTTGAATGCGCCAAGCGATAGTCTTGGTTTAGTGTAATCTTCCTCTTGGAACTCTGAAAAATTCAATATTAAGATTAATACAGAATGGTGTAATGCTAATTTTCAATCATCAAATATCTTTTGTATAGAATTTAGCTCTAGTTAAATTATATTTCTGGGGTGGCCGACACAGTGGCTTCCCAGAGCCTATGCATTGGTACCCAAAGGCCAATATGATCCCATCATGAGTATGAACCGGAAATTTGCCCTCCCTCAGGGGCTGGAAAGCCGAGGGTATACCCATTGTATACCTGTCGATGATTCTGAGGATCCATGTCCCTACGGCCCAGTCTCTGACCAGGCTTCCTGGTTGGTGGTCTAGTCAACCAGACTGTTGGATGTGGCTGCTCACAGCCTGATGTATGAATCCCAGCCTGCTTGATTGGGTATTCTTTGGAGGTGTTTAACAAGTTCTCTCTTAAACAGTGAGGGGGGTTTGCCAGTTATGCCACTTATGTGTAGTGGAAGTGTGTTGAGCAGTCTCAGGCCTCTGATGTTGATAGATTCTCTCTCAGAGCACCTACTGCATCTCTGCTCTTCAATAGGGAGAATTCTGCACATCCTGCTATGTCTTCTGGTCTCATGTGATATTTCTGTGTGCCAATTTGGGACCAGCCCTTCTAATATTTTCCATGTGTATATTATTTCTCTCCCACCTGCACCCTAGAGAATACAGATTTAAGCATTTTAATCGGTCCCAATAATTTAGTTGTTTTATTGAGTGGATTCTAGCAATAAAGAATATCTGCACGCTCTCAAAGTCAGCAGTTTATCCAGCTTTGAAAGGGGTTGTTGCAGATAAAGAGTCACAATAATGTAGCTGAAAAATGTTGACCAAACCACATACTAGAAATTGAAGAGACAACAACGTTTAGGTCCGTCCTGGACCATTATCAAGTCAATCAAAACGTCATCATCTCTTCAATTTCTTTTGTGTGTGGCTTTGGTCAACAGAGGGGTTGTTATTCTGCAACAATATTCCATTCTAAAGAGCACCAGCATCTTGAAAGTATCATCATTGATACATCAAAAGCATCATAGGCTCATCCTGGTGACATAGATCACTGCAATATCACTAATTTCCACAGACCGTAAGTGGGTGACCTGACACGTTAACCTTCTTACCTATGAACAAATCCACAGGGGCCGTGACGAGGGTTCGAACCTACGTCCGAGAGGATCCCAGATGCGCCTTAATCAAATGAGCTACGACATGGTAAAAGAATTGTAACCGGGAAATCAACTGGACCTACCACGGATCCTGCAGTCTCTCCGAGACACAAACCAGGTTTTTACACAATTCCCCCATGCACCCGGGTTCTGTCAATAAGCTGTTCTATCTCTTCGCCCTTACTTCATTACACACAGAAATCACAATAGCGTGATGCATCAAATGAAATTATCTTCTTACCTATGCTTGAGATGTAAAACCAGTTTCTTGCTTCAATATGGCTACCTTTCCTGGTGTTCCTCTACTCATAAAGTTTCCTTATATCTTTGGCTAATATGTCAATGGGTTCATAAAAGCCATTGTGTACTAATCACTCCTGAGGCAGCTCGACCTTTACAATGATACCAGACATGCTTGATCTGTACAAGCATTATTATAGATCCCAGGACATTATGCACTCTTGGTGACCGCACTCAAGGTTGGCTGAACAGTGTAAACTTAACATGCCACAGTAAACAGCTGTGGAAATCTACTTCCTCACACCAACTGCAGACACTTTACCAATGAGTGATTCTTGACAAATTAAATAAAGCAATTTGTGCCAAACCTCTAAATTTATACAAGAAATATACATACCCCGTTCACCCTGCAATGGCTGAGGGTTCCACTGTGGCACATTCCTGACAATAGCCTCAACTGCAAGCCCAGCAGCAATCCTGACATCCCATGACTTTGAACTAAGGTATGTATGAACACGATTAAGGAGGGAATTGAGTTCATATGGATGAAGACGCACGACTTCACCCAGCTGCTGAGCTGCCGCCTGCCGGGTGACTCCTGATCCTCCATTTTCCAACAGCAAGAACAATCGGTCTAATCTGAAATTTACCATTTTATATGTCAAAAGGCATTGAATTATAATGAAAAATACATTCATATATTATATACAGTATTAAGAATATCAAAATTGAAGTTTGAATTTTCAAACTTCAAGATAGGCTGTGTATCAACTTTCACAACATAGCTGGCTGTATATGATATACAGTACAATAGTACAGGATAATACTACAATTTAATAATTCTGAATAGAATTTAATAACAATAATAAATAGAAATAGCACGAGATTAACACAGTACTTGTCGACATTAACCAATGATAAGATGCAGAATACGTAGTGGTAATTAACAGCCAACAAAATAACAAAGAAGAGTTTGACGATTATATATCTACCACAATTAATATATTTGCTCGAATGGGTGTGCTAGTTATAGGAAATAAAGGACACTAAATTCACTCACAGTGAAAGAAACTAAAGTTACTCATGTACCACCAAACCTAAAATAAGACAAAAATACTGTAGTGTTGAGTGAAATTAAATATCCCTTCCTGAGGAGGCCCACCACCTGCCTCCCATATGACTGACCCTTCTGTAACAATGTAAAAGTGTTTTGTTTAGTTTTATATTTAATATATTCATGAGTCAAGTCAGACAAGATCTTGAGAGGCATCAGGGTGTCTGACCCATACTCACACCTCTAAGTGTTAATGATGACAAACTGACCCGAGGTCAGGTTGTGTGAAATTGATCTTGGTTCTGCTAAACCCAATAATAGCTGGATGTGTCCTTCAAACAAGCCGCTGGTTAAGGTGTGGTTTGATAGATGACCTGGGGCTATCTACTTGTGGGAAGAGCTTAGCTCCTAGGTTCACAATAAAAACCCAGGGAGCTGTAGATTCGAGAGCAATAGGAGAACAGCCCAGCAGAGCAGAGCAGAGGAAAGCATAGCATAGGCAGGCTGTCAGCCAGATTGGGGGATTCTGCCTGTCAACTGCAGACCATCCCCTCATCTTTATTCAACTTAGGTAGAATACTGGGTGAACGAACGTGAAGGTGACTTAGTTTGGGTTTACTAAGATGTTGTGTGATCTCTAGGGGCAGACAGCTGTGATGGTCTCAGTCTCGTGTGGTGACTCACGTTGCTTATTCATCTTCAATTGATTGAATTCTGATGAATTTATTGTTTAAATATATATTTGATTCACTTACTCTTTAATCTGATTTTAATTGTGTTTCTATAGCTGGGATTTTTGGATATAATATGCAATCTAGAGTGTAGAGTCCTCTTGAGATGATTGACTTAAAGAATCTTGCATGGAACATGATTCCAGTTGACACATGCTAACATCATCTTTGATATTCAGACAAGTTCCATTCCTTTTCTTGTATGTAATGAACTAGAATGGATGGTGGCAGCACTTTCTACTTCTACTTCTACCTATCTACCCTTCTACCTCTACTTCTCTTCTCCCTCCGCCTCTCTTCAAAACTTTCCCTTTCAACTGACGACACTCCTCGCCCCTCCCACCTCTCTACATCCCTCACCCCAAACCCTCACTCATTACTTCATTATTCATTTCTTCCTTTCGTTTCTCTTTTATGTTCGTAGCAGTGAAATGTTCTAGAGTTCTCTAGAGTTGCGGGTAGCTTTTTAAATTACAATGCCTTGTGGGTGTAGCACCTAGGTACTCAAATACATAGGTTACAAGGTGTTGAACTAGAGAGGTTGCAATAGGAACTCTGGGGGAACTAGGGGCGGAATAGTTAACTAGGAACTAGGGAACTAGAATAGTTAACTAGGGGCGGGATAATGGACTAAAGACAGCTATTTCCCCCCGTCCAATTTACACTTCCTGAGGAGTCCCACCACCTGCCTCCCATGACCGACCCTTCCTCAGTAGTCCCACCACCTGCCTCCCATGACCGACCCTTCCTCAGTAGTCCCACCACCTGCCTCCCATATGACTGACCCTTCCTCAGTAGACCCACCACCTGTCTCCCATGTGACTGACCCTTCCTCAGTAGACCCACCACCTGCCTCCCATGTGACTGTAGAAAAATCCAACATGTAGATCACCATAGAGTGGCAAACCACCCATATATGCTCTGCCACCAGCCCGTCCTCCAAAAATGGGGAGGTAAATGTACAGAGCCCCATAAGTGCAATTATGTACTATGTATAACAGTTAAGAATTGTACTTATTTACACTAAGTATTAAATCGTACTGTCAAATATATTGTGAATATTTGAGTTTACCTAAAAAGCTGAATAGAAAACCACGACCTAACCTAACCGTCTTAGTTTGTGAAGATAAGAATTTTATTGCATCTTAATTATAACTACTACTTAACCTATAGCTATATTGATATTACAGTTTTATAAAACAAATAAAACAAAACTAAAATATTTCAATAAATTGTAAAGTAACTCAGGATATTTTCAAATTTTGTATAAAATCTCTATTGTTTAATAAAAGTGAAAAAGAAAATCCTAATATTTAAAACTTGTTTATAGCAACTGAGCTTTAAAATTTCATCTTAAAATTTTAAGTGTCCTAACAGAAAACGAGGAGATTTAAATCGGGGGAGGGGGATGGGTAAATGTAACAGCCCCATAAGTGCAATTATGTACTATGTATAGCAGTCAGGAAATGCACTTATTACACTTAGTATTAAAACGTACTGTCAATTCGGAGGATGGGTTGGTACAGGTATGTTAAATTTTGTTGTTTCTTGTTATGTTTTTGACCAAAATGCTTTGCATAATATTGGCTTACTAGATTGTGTAACTCCTGTCCTTACAATTGTACATTATTCTTACATTCTTTGTACACATTCTTCTGAACAAACATTGTATTGTAAAGTGTACCTTGGTGTATGACTACCCTAGAGAACAATTTTTTTTGGTATACGACGTCAAATTCATTGTAAAAATTTGAAAAGTTTTCCTGGTAATATACCTGTTGATAAGTGTTTGGGTCAAAAGAGCACATGGTGCAGGGGTGTGGGACGATTGTTTACCAGTGTATCCCATCTACACCCCAATGACAACTCCACTTCAATTCTTTGTAAAGAATTTTATTGTTTTTGTGCCTTTATTTGGTTTCTGAACATAAAAGTTCTTGTTATATATAATAATGCCATGGGTCCCAAGGAAGTCAGTGGTAAAGTTGAACCTAAGAAAATAGTTGTGAGGATGACGATAGAGGAAAAACTAGAGATCATTCATAAACATGAAAATAGTATGTGGGTTGTTGATGTCCCTTCCTCATTAATTAAGAAAATGTGAGCAGTATGGGAAGAACTGCAAAGTTTTGCCAAAAAGAGTCACCCAGATAAACCTGTAAATTGCCGTTGGATTAACCCTTAAACTGTGCAACACTTCATATGACGTGTTAGTAACTGACGCAAAAGTGAACACCACTTCATATGTCGTTTTGGAGTACTGCGCAAGATTTAAACGGCTTGCAACTACACCGGGTTCACATCAGTTTCCTCAGGGTTCTTGTAAACAGAAGCCATTTAAAAAAAAAAATCATGGGCAACATTCCCGGGTGTGAAAGCCTTAGTACTGAGTGAGCCACCAAGGCTGGCGCATGCAGCATGAGTTCACAGCACTGCTGGTCAGTTTGTGACCACAGCATTGCCTAAAAATGTCAAAAATATATGTAACTGGTATTATTTAGCGATGATAATATTACAGAAGACCCTTGACTGTGATAAAAATGACCAGGATTCTGAAAATAGCTGGATTGTTGTGATAATTTGTGCTGTGCTTTGGGAGGAGTAATGCTGAGGGTGGGAGGGCTGTAGCATTGTCCGCCAAATCTGCGTGGCCACCTGTTACTGTCAGGTCATTCCGTCTCAAATCACCAAAGAGTCACCTATGGTTCCCACTCGACCCTCTCCAAATGCCATAAAATTTTGTAGTAAGATAGCCCTAGACCCCAAATGACACTTTGCAAAATATTAGAGCTCAATCTGCTTTGGTTCTTAAATAACAGGTCCATATTCAATGGGCTCTCGTCCCGTTAATGCGCAAGTACTGTACCACAAAAATTACCAACTTTGACCCTTTGTTAAATCACTTCTCTTGTCTGTAGGAGTGTGAAATTTGACATACCAAGACAACTTTTGGTGTAGAATAACGTAGTGTAATTGAAAAAGCAGTATGGGTGGCCATTCAGCTATCCATCCATGCTAAAATCACTGCCAAATTTTGTTGTGAGAAATTTAGACCTCAATTTGGAGACCACTTACTCATCAGCAAAAGGTCTAAACGCCATGATCTTTTGCAACGATGTATAACAAGCACAATATTATGCAGTGATGCAATAGCAGCTCTGTTGTATCCATATGTCCAGAGGTGGCCCACTTGAAAGTTGGCCAAATAAAATTTATGTGCAAAACTAGCCTACTTTCAAGGCAAAATATCTCAATATGCATCATTCCCAATTTGGTTTTGAATGACACCATTTGATAGAGCAGATTTTTCTGTACAAGAGTAACTTTTATTTAGGTTGGGATACGAATTCCTAGTTCAGCCAGAGGACTCTGAAAATGACATACCTTGGTGCAATATTGAGAAAATGAAATTATGATTCTCCATCTTCTTTGTGCACTGATCATGACTTTTTCTTCTTTCCATTCTTTCCAGGACACATTCAACTAAATTCTTCACCCTCAAAAAACTGTGCTACCCTTTTGTTCACTTTCTCAGGAACTGACTTGCCCTGCAAATTCCTAGGAATTGCTAGCATTCCTTGTTCTTTCAGCTTCTTAGCTTTGCGAACCATGTACAGTATTCTGAAACTTTGAATTGCTCCATTGTCTTTTTGATAGACCAGCTTTGTGGCACGAGGGTTAGGATTTGTATTTTTTCTTAGCGCTTTGCTACATGGAATTTTAGCTTCATTTCTTCAATGAGTTTATTGAAGTCTTAGCAATTTGTGCACTGTTGGCTAGAGCTTGGTACCAACAGGTTTTGGCAATCAATATTTCCAATTGCAGCAATCTGCTCGGCAATTATTTCCTGTGCT